AATCACCACTACCAGATGCTAAAGTAGTTCCATCTGGTGAGAAGCATACTGATTGGACAAAATCACTATGACCATCCAATTGGGCATATTATTATCCTGTCTTAACATCCCATAATCTGATTGACTTATCATAACTACTAGATGCTAAAGTAGTTCCATCTGTTGAGAAACATACTGATTAGACAGAACTAATATGACCATCCAATTGGCCTTTTTATTATCCAGTTTTAATATCCCATAATCGAATTGAACAATCACCACTACCAGATGCTAAAGTAGTTCCATCTGGTGAGAAGCATACTGATTGGACAAAATCACTATGACCATCCAATTGGGCATATTATTATCCTGTCTTAACATCCCATAATCGAATTGACTTATCCCAACTACCAGATGCTATAGTAGTTCCATCTGATGAGAAGCATACTGATTGGACCCAGCTAGTATGACCATACAATTTGGCTTTTTACTATCCTGTCTTAACATCCCATAATCTGATTGACGTATCTTAACTACCAGATGCTAAAGTAGTTCCATCTTGTGAGAAGCATACTGAACAGACAGGATTACTATGACCATCTAATTTGTTTAACTCATGAATCTTAATATTTTACCAATTACACTTTAATAGTTATGATCCATTTAGATTAACACCACTTAATTCTACATTTTTGAATCTTGATCCACTTAAGTTACATCTCACAAAATTTGCTCCTATTAAAGTAGTATTCTGGATATTGATTTCCTCTAAACTTTGGTTTGTTATATCTACCTTCATTTACACTAATAAATGTAGAGCATTTGACCCTCCTTAAATAAATTTTTCATCAATAGCAGTTACTTGAACTAAAAACATAAGAAAATCTTATATTATCTTATTCCCTGCTATCTTTTAGATAAGATTTTATCTTTCCTTATCATAAGTTTCTGAACTATAATTGTTTTTGCTAAAGTGATGATCTAAAATATTTCTCAATATATTCATGATCTTCTCAATTTACTTCTTCACATCATCTGGGTTCGGTTTTTTTATCATACCTTCCATACTAACTTGATTCTATCTCTTTTTCAGTAATCCAATAAGATCTGGAATGTTCTCTTTCTTCAATATCTCCAATATCACTTTTAACAATTGGCCATCAAGATCTTGGACCTAATCTAAGATCTCTGATAGCTCTTCCAACTTGTGATAAGGCTACTCCGGTTCAATTGAATATGTTATTCCATCACAGGAATGCTAATATTATAATGGATAAATGTCTTACTTCGACAGTCTAGATCAAGTCTTGGGCTATAGATTTGAAGAGGTTCTACATATTTTGTTTTATATATAATATTTTAATTAATGATATGTAAAAAAATGAATTTCTAAATAAAATCTTCATTATATATTAGATTTGCATTGTTTCCCTTATATTGTGTGTCTCAAGTAGCCTTGGTCTCTTGCTGTAGCTAGCTATCTTAATACTGGCAATTCATAAACATCGAAAAGAGTTATCTATTCACTTAAAAACATTGTTTTCTATAATTCTGGATTTCATATTCTTGAAGTCTTTTTAGGGATTAGTTTTAAAATTAATAGTTTGTTAAATATTTTTGTAAATTATCTTCTAAATCTAATTTTTATTGGCTTTCCTTTCTTTTTAGTCTTTTTAGATTATTGTATAGAACAATAGGGTTTTTTGAATTAGGAATTTTTAACCTCATCTTCCTCGATTTTCTAACTTAAGATTATTACCAGTTTATTTTATTTCTTAATTTTCGTAACCTTTATTAGAAGCACTTATGAAAATTAATTAAATGAACACAACTTCTTATATATTATTTATAAGAAAGCTCAAATTACATATTTATTTTGAAATAAAGAAAAATTGTCTTGCTTAGTTTTTGATTCTATGATATGAAGATTACTTTAATGATATTTAATTAAATAAGATTACAGTATTGCTAGATTATAAATATTAAATTTTAGGTTATATAAAAAATGGACTCTTTCTTGTTAATTTATATCAATTTTCTAATTTAATTATTTGATGGCTCGGTATTAAGATTCGTAATAATATAATCCTTAAAGACTATATCTAATTTTAATCAAGTTTGATAAACTATTATGTTTCTTTAAAATATGAAAATTATGATTTTGATTAATGTTCTTCTTGTTTAATTGAGATTAATTTAGAAAAGGCTCATAAACTATGAAAAGCCATAGTAAGATTGGTAATACTAAAAGAAGTTCCAAATTGTTACTTCAGCTCTTTTATCAGAACTGGATTAAAATTAAATTAATGACACCTTGTCAAAAATTTTTTTTTTAAATATTCAAAGTAATGAATAGTAAAAAATTACTCTACTAACAAAATGTTTTGGTCTGATTTCCTCAATTGAAAAGGAACTTGATCCATCATTTTAGAGTACAATTAAAATAGATTAATAATCTATCATCTAATCCACTTCACCTTCTCTCAAATCACAGTTTCTATCAACTCCCTTCAATGGTTAACAGCTAGCAATTTAATTAATATTAATTCAAGATTGATTACTTAGTT